GCGAGGCAGTCGCAAAGCCCGTCGGAACTCACCGGGGGTCCATCGACAATCTCATCGACATCGCAGTCGCCTTCCTCGCCCGCGCGCACGCAGCCGCAAACTCACGCGCGCCTCAGAAGGCCAGTTCGTGCCAGGGCGCCCCCGGTGGCCAGCCCATTCGCCGACCCTTCGGATCAACGCTGGATCGGGGCCCCCGCCACGTGGAGGATGAAGATGCAGAGGAAGAGGATGATGATGAGGATGTGGGAGGATCCAAATAAGAATGACCGGGTGCACTATACAAATATATGTACATATAATTAGATATATGCATATGTATATGCGTATGTACATAATTTATAGAAAACACATAGAGAGATATGGGACAGCCCGTGTCGAGGTGGCCACGGTGCTGATGGCGATGGCCAGGGTGCTGATGATGACGATGGCGGTTATGATGATTTGTTTTGTTGTTTGTTTTTTCCGTTGGGCGCGCGCTGAGCGCGACTATGGAGTGCGCGGCCTGCGGCCTGCGAGAATCGATCATGCCAAATCCCGCAACTTCTGAATCTCCACGACTCTGTGCTCCTTAAGGGCCTCGGCGCCATTGATGCGGCCGCTGCACATCTCCTTCGCCAAATCGATTGCCTTCTGGATGCGCTGCCCCCCCAAGCCTTCCACGATGATCGGGATGTGCAATTTGGAGAAGCCGTCGACGGTAATCCGAAGAAGGTCGCCCGTCTCGTCATTCCTAGTCACCTTGTCGCGCTTGAGCCTGACCCCCACCTCCCCGCCGCGATCAGCCCACGCGCCAACGAAGAGAGCCCCTCGCATCCCGCCTGCCTTGGCGCCCACAATCTTTTGCCAGGATTGTTCTTGGCGTACTCCAGGTCCTCCGCCGTGAAATTTTCGATCTTGAACTGGCCCATGGCGGACGCCCCGATCGCGTCGCCCTCTGGCGCAGCAATCGCATCAGCGGTGAACTGCTTGGCTTGACCAGGGAACTGGATCCACGCCCCCGCTCCCGCCTTGAAGCCTGTCAGCGGTTCTGCGGCGCCGTTGACGCTTCCCGCGGCAGCGGCTGGCGCCTGCGAAGATTCTGGCTTGGACTCCTCGCTGTCGTCGCCACTCTTCAATTGCGCGTCGAAGAACCTGTCGCTGCGAAACGACTTCGGCATCTCGGTGTTAAAGGTTCCCGGTGCGGCTGCAGGCCGCCTCTTCCTCGCCGGCGGTTCAACGTCGGCTCCATCCCCACTTGCAGGCTGCTTTCTCGATGGGGGCCCTTCGTCGGCATCGTCGTCGTCGCCCTCGCATTCTGCATCGCCGTTCTCCTCGCTCTTCGTTCGCTCGGGGTCCTCGTGCTCATCGGAGGCGTCGTCCGAGTCGGTCTTCTTCACCTTTGGTTTCGCCTTCGGCTTCCCCTGTGCCTTTGCCTTTGCTTCCCCCCTTTCCCGCCCCTTTGCCAGTGCTGCTGAAGGCCTCCTTCTCAGGGGGTGCTTGCGCGATCCAGCTGGCTTCTTCGTCGCTGCCTCCCCTTCTTCATTGTCGCCTTCTCCGAGCATCCCCGCGATCGTCGCAGCCTGCCTCGGCGCCGTCACTTGGCCGGCGGCGCGTTTGCAACGGCAGACCAAGGTGCGCGGCCTCTTGGCCACGGGCGCGGGGGCCTCCTCCACGTTGCGCTGGGCGCGCCGGGTCTTCGACTTGCACGCGGCGGCGACTGCGGCCTTCTCGAGGGCCTGAGGGGGGCGCTTGGATTCCCTGCGCCAGACGAAATTCAGGGCGGCGCGAAGCCTCTTCTGGCCGGCGAGCTGCGCCGTGACCACAGGACTGTCTTTGAGCTCGTCACCGCAAGGAATGAAGCCCGCTCACAAGGCGAAAGGAAGAAGGGCCGCGGCCAGGTCGGGATGGCCCTGCGCGCCCGCATTGCCCCCCTCATCCGAGGGCATTGCGCGGGCATGAGAACGCAAAAAAAAGACTCGACCTGAGTCTTGATCCTAAATGGTAAGGGCTGGTGATTTGTATGAAGCCTTGTCTGCGGGCTGTCGGGTAGGGTTTCTGTGGGCTGCCTGTGGGCTGTCTGGTCAGGTTTCTGTTGCGGCCCGTGGGCTGCCTGCTTAAGATTTTGCATTATTCTAAGGCGCCCCCTCCACTAGCATAGAGTCGCATACCCCCCCCCCTCTGCTGACGCCCCTGTCTCTCAACGAAGTCCCCCCAAGAAGTTCCCCCAATGCGGCGGCGAACAGCAGCGACGCATGCAACGGCGCACCGGCTCAGAAACGGCGACGCGATGATACGCAACAAGGCGGCACAACGCCCATGCGATCCATCACATGCAGAAGTCATGTTATTCAGAGGGTGCCGATCCTTTCGGTTTGCGTTTGCTCGGGTGGGAAAAGTACAGCAATTCCTAAGCTGCGGATGCTTCTGGCGCTGTGGACTCCAGCGCGGCTGCGCATCAAAATATTCACGGCCTCTACCATAGTCGCAATGCAATCACCGTGCATCACGAAGACGGCGAGCGACACTGGATGCCCGATGCATCGCAATCATTGGCAAATCCAACGAACACGCACAACATCAACAACAGCAGGAACATAAACAAAAACAGCACTAACCATATCTCACGCGTGGCTGGTCTTGTTTGCGTGGTTTATTCACTGTTTGTATTGCGTTGTTGACGACGCCAGAACATAACGTGCGCACTATTTCGACACATGGTGTGCTGGCGATGCCAATACTCGTCTGAACAAGGTCTCGTGGTCCCCAATTATGTTGCAGGTGGGGCCAGTGCAAAATCGCTGAAACATGAACACATGATAGTATAGGTTAAATTCTGAGCATGAAAGACCTCGGGTGACTTCCTCGCGCGCCGGGGGTCGACTTTACGAATGTGTCACGATCGGGGACCCTGCTTGAACACTCCGTGGCGCGCTCGCTGGAGATGGCCCCCGGGGGCACCGCAAGGCCTAGCCCCCTCGCGCGCCGAGGGTCGACTTTGCGAAGATGTTCCGGGCGAGAGCCATGCTGGGGCGCGCCCGGCGCGCCGCGGCGCGCACCCCCCAAGTGGCGGGGGCGCGGCGGGGCCCGACGTCCTCGCGCGCCTCGCGGGGGCGTCTCGAGCGAGGGCCTTGCCGGGACCTCGCTCCTCGGGATCTGAACTGGCCGCTCAGCCTCGGGCCTCGCATCTCACGACGCCCGATGGGGATCGCCACTGCGGCCCGGCCTGCCTTGAGACATCGAGTCGGGAGGCCTGCTCGGCACCGCGTTGGCTGCGCGCGGAGGCACCCCTCTTCGTTCGGAGCTCACAAGTCACTTCCGTCTCCAGCTACGCGGCAATAGTATCCCTGTGCTAGGTTACCTGCAGTTCCGAGTTCTGTAAAGCCATGCAGTTGTGATTTGCTAGTGGAACACACGCATAGTACAGGAAATGCACGTTGCACCCCCGACGCGCGAGACCGCCCCCAACGCGAGGGTTTGTCGCGGCTTCCTGGCCGACGCGGGCACAAGAGCTCTGCTGTGCACCTACATCCTGACGCGGGCTTTCGGACAGCGGTAGTCGGGGCATCTTTCTCGGGTTCTCCGCAATGGCTGATCAAACCTCCCCCGCGTCGACGGATGATCGCCCTCGTGCGCGAGCGGTTGCGTCGGTGCCAGCCACTTTCTCATTGCCGCGCTCACAAGCTCTTCAGTATCGTCACCTTGCGCTGTTCTCCTCGAGCCACAGTCCCTTGCACCATCACTTATGGAGGGGCGGCCCGACCAAATTAATTCGGGAAGCGCGCTCGGAAGGACTTCTGCAGTTGTCTCTTGATGGGTCTTACCTGTTATCATGGACATTTTCTGCGCGCGAAGGGAATCACAACTACCGCCTGATGGTAGATCGTCACGGCGCCGGCCAAAAGCCTGCCGATCGATCTTTGCGTCGTCATGTTGATGCAAGTAAAGTTGTGATTTATAACCGTCGCCGATGGTGGTTTGGATTTGACACTCATAACCTTTCCGTCCTGAATATGTTGGACGCGCGGGTTCGGGAAGTCAATGTCCGCCGGGCCTTCCGAAAGGAGGTAGGCCCGGTGCGCGGTGACATACGCCCGCGCGCTCGTCCACTCATCACATGGGCGCACGATCGCATTCACAGTCCTGCTCAAAGCACGACTTAGTTTTAACCCTATGAGTGCTCGCTTCTACTGGCATTGACTGGCATATTTACGACCCGCGTGACCCGTGGACACATCATCGCGGGGACCGGCCCTCACTGTCATGGTTACGTAAACCTGAAACTCTGCTTTCACTTTGGGGGGTGGGACTCTGACGGAACTTGAAGACACTCGCCTCTCGAAGGATCTGGTTTGCGAGGTGAGTCACATTCTCGTCCCGCATTGCGGCCCCACTGACCGCTGCACGTCAGCTACGATGGAAGCCGTCGTGCGGCTCAACGAAAGAGACATCATCATATGTCCTGTCCACTCTCTCAGAAGATCCGGCTGACAACGGGATGTTGAACAGATGTTCTACACTATCTGCATAACAGCCCGACAAATGCGATGAATCCTCTCCGTCTTCTCCTGGTTCAGGGGGCATCTTAGAGACGACCATCTGAATGGCAATTAATTGTGTGCCTTAGTGCTGATCGGCGACATTGAGGCGACGCGCGCGCGAGAATGCCAGCGCATTCTTCTCCGACTGGGCGCAACACGCGCTCCGAAGTCGGGTTCGCCTACCACCTCCCTTGAGGTATAAAAGACTTGAACCACACGGCCGCAACGACAGGCGGGCGGGTGAGAACATGACGCCAGCACGACGCAACGTTATCGAATCAGGAGGCCTGCGAGATCGAGGAGGATCCTGGAGGGCCTTTCGAATCTGGATCGACTGCTGAAGGCTATCCTCACCGCTGCCTGGCTGGCCAGGCTCAGCTGCGCTGGGCGGCGGCGCCTTGGCCTGTCAAGCCTGGGCCTTCGCCTGCGCCTGCGCTGTCCTCTTCTCCTCCTGCCCACGTTCCTCCTCCCTGGCCCCGCGTCCTTTTCCCCAGCGCACGCCTGGCCCTCTTCCAAGCTCCTCCTTGGCAGGCGGGGGATGGAGGCGGCAGTCCCACAAGTCCCTCCCGGAGCAGGGGCGTGGTGGAGGAAGCGGCGAGTGAAGGAGCGAGACAAGAGTACATGATGATGGTGATGATGATGCTGATGATGGTGATGATGACGCTGCTGATGAGGATGGTGGTGGCAATGATGGTGGTGAAAATGGTGAAGACGTTGCCGATGACGCCGATGCTGATGGCAGGGTGATGATGATGATGGTGAAGACGACCATGACGTTATGAATAAGGTTCATAACGATGAGGATGCTAATAAGAAGGATGACGAGGATGAATATTGCGATCTCGACGACGAACATGATTATGATGATGATCAGCATCAACAACATCATGAGCAGCATCAACATCATAAGCAGCATCAACATCAGCATCACCACCATCAGCTTCAGCGTCAAGCAGGACAATGAACGCGTGGATATTCAGATGGTGTCGTGTGCCATGTCTTCCAACTTGCCAGTGCCTGCAAGGCCCCATAGCGAGCATCCTGATGAGACAATCACTGTGGTTTTGCACAGCACGGCGCTCCCAGTCGTAAAGTCGCTGACCCCTCCCCCCCCCCAGTCCCAGCAGTGGGCGAGGAGAAAAGGGGCAGAAATGTGGTGCCCCAGGCGGAGGAGTGTGACGAGAAGATCGACACTTCTCTCACAATGCAGAAAAAAAATAGAACGGCAGTGGTATCACGTAACTATTCCAACGTCGATCCGCACCCCTGACGCTATCCTGCCGTGCCCGAAGACATTCGGAATTGCTATGGTCCCAGGTACCACTCACAACCTCGAGATGTTACGGTTCTCAATCGCCACTCCACCACCGCAGCACTCATGCTAACACTGTTCGCTCTTCTGCTCGCGTGCCATTCATCACGTAAATCCCCAAACCTCGATGCGTTCGATCGTACGCCCATTTGGAGTATGTCTTTCTTACCTGCAATGTGGATTTCGTGCAGCCCCTAAGGCAGGGGAAGAGAGGACGGACGGAAGGAAGGGACAAGGAGGAGTGGAAGATGGAGCACGAGACAGAATTGCAGGAGGGGGGCTAGGAGCAGAAAACACCTGGCAGAACCAGACGGGCAGATCGGGCCGGCAGACCCTAACGGGCGAGTCGGGAAGGCGGACCCAGGCGGTCAGGTCGAGCAAGCGGGTTGCTTGCATGAAGCGCGAGGACGCGGCCAGTGAGAGCAGAAACGGCAGTGAGGAAGCATGCTGCAGCGTGGGTCTCGAACGATAGCGCGATCCTCACGGGGGCCAAGGACGCGGCCACTGAGGGCAGAAACGGGGCCATGAAGGGCAGCGAGGTGGCCGCGAAGGGCGACAGCGGGGCCACGAAAGGCACGCATATGGGGCCACGACGGGCGCGAACGAGCGGGGGCCACGACGGGCATACATAGATGGGGCCAGAAAGGGCAAGAGCGGGGCCATTGAGGGCAGAAACGGGGCCACGAAGGGCAGCGATGGGGGCCATGAATGGCGACAGCGGGGCCACGAAGGGCGTACATATGGGGCCACGACGGGCGCGAGCGAGCGGTGGCCACGAAGGGCATAATATAATGCGAGGCCATGGAGGGCAGCGACGGGGCCGCTGAGGGTAGCACGGGGGCTACAAAGGGCAGCGAGGGAACCACAAAGGGCGACGGCGGGGCCACGAAGGGCATGCATATGGGGCCACGACGGACGCGAGCGAGCGGGGTCCACGAAGAGCATACGCATAAAGGGCATGCAGATAGGGTCACGACGGGCGCGTGCGAGCGGGGGCCACGCAGGGCATATGATGCGGGGCCACAAACGTCAGCGACGGAGCCACTGAGGGCAACAACGGGGCCACGAAGGGCAGCAAGCGAAGGCGACCGCGGGACCAGTAAGGGCAACGAGGGGCATCAACGGCGGGCAAAGGGCAGCGAGCGGCGACTGCAGTCCCTAACGGGCGGGTCGGGCGGGCAGGCCCCGACGGGCGGGTCAAACGGGCGGGTCGTTGAAGCGTGAATCCTGCTTGGATCGCCAAGAAGTCTTTCGCGGGAGCGCGACTCCCAAGTAAACCTTGAAGAGGTCTAAAGCGAGAGCGCGATTCCTGAGTGTCGAGGAGCGGCATCTGAATGGATCGTGAAGAAATCTCAAGTGAGAGCGCGACTCCTGAGTTCATTGAAGGAATTCTCAAGCGATTATCCCGGCAAAGCAACCTAACAGCGATGTGTAGAAGCATATATGGAAACATTCCCCTTAAGATCCAGATGAGAATCCAGTTGTAGAATTCTCCTGTTCTCGCAGTCGCAGTCGCATTCGCGATGACAGTCGCAGTGGCAACGGCAGTCACAGTCACAGCCTCAGCCTCAGCCTGCCTCAGTATCAGCCTGCCTCAGCCTCAGCCTCAGCCTGCCTCAGCCTCAGCCTCAGCCTGCTTCAGCCTCAGCCTCAGTCTGCCTTCAGCCTCGGCCTCAGCCTCAGCCTGCCTCAGCCTCAGCCTGCATCAGCCTCAGCCTCAGCCTCAGCCTCAGCCTCAGCCTGCCTCCGCATCAGCCTGCCTCAGCCTCAGCCTCAGCCTGCCTCAGCCTCAGCCTCAGCCTGCCTCAGCCTCAGCCTCAGCCTGCCTCAGCATCAGCCTGCCTCAGCCTCAGCATCAGCCTGCCTCGGCCTCAGCCTCAGCCTGCTTCAGCCTCAGCCTCAGTCTGCCTTCAGCCTCGGCCTCAGCCTCAGCCTGCCTCAGCCTCAGCCTGCATCAGCCTCAGCCTCAGCCTCAGCCTGCCTCAGCTCAGCCTCAGCCTCAGCCTCAGCCTGCCTCAGCCTCAGCCTCAGCCTGCTCAGCCTCAGCCTCAGCCTCAGCCTCAGCCTCAGCCTCAGCCTCAGCCTCAGCCAGCCTCAGCCTCAGCCTCAGCCTCAGCCTCAGCCTCAGCCTCAGCCTCAGCCTGCTTCAGCCTCAGCCTCAGTCTGCCTTCAGCCTGCCTCAGCCTCAGCCTGCCTCAGCCTCAGCCTGCATCAGCCTCAGCCTCAGCCTGCCTCAGTATCAGCCTGCCTCAGCCTCAGCCTCAGCCTGCCTCAGCCTCAGCCTCAGCCTGCTTCAGCCTCAGCCTCAGTGCCTTCAGCCTCAGCCTGCCTCAGCCTCAGCCTCAGCCTCAGCCTCAGCCTCAGCCTCAGCCTCCTGCATCAGCCTCAGCCTCAGCCTCAGCCTCAGCCTCAGCATCAGCCTGCCTCAGCGTCAGCCTGCCTCAGCCTGCCTCAGCCTCAGCCTCAGCCTCAGCCTCAGCCTCAGCCTCAGCCTCAGCCTGCCTCAGCCTCAGCCTGCCTCAGCCTCAGCCTCAGCCTGCCTCAGCAGCAGCCTGCCTCAGCCTCAGTTGGCTACGGGCATTCAAAATGTGGCCCGGGAATGGAGTTCTGGGAACTCGAAGAGCACGAAGTGGCCTACAGTTGGCTCCGGGCATTCAAAATGTGGCCCGGGAATGGAGTTCTGGGAACTCGAAGAGCACGAAGTGGCCTACAGTTGGCTCCGGGCATTCAAAATGTGGCCCGGGAATGGAGTTCTGGGAACTCGAAGAGCACGAAGTGGCCTACAGTTGGCTCCGGGCATTCAAAATGTGGCCCGGGAATGGAGTTCTGGGAACTCGAAGACCACGAAGTGGCCTACAGTTGGCTCCGGGCATCCAAAATGTACGCCGGGAATAGAGTTCTAGCAGCGCCAAAAGCGATTTTGCGAGGATGTCCAAGGCGATTTGGGCTTCGACGGCAGCCGCCCCGGGTCCCGCCCCGACCCCCCTGAGGAGTCATGATGCTCTCTTTTGACCCCACTAGAAACCTATCAGTCTTCGCTGTTAGGTAAAAACCGGATTTCTCAATACACTGTGCGGGAATATCAGGCGGGAGCCGTTGTCGTTGTTGTTGAACATCATTTATTCTAAAGAATAATTATTGTTGGGCCCCCTGGTGCGCGCCCCCCCTGCGCCGCCTAGGCCGCAGCTACATTTTCATCATTTTCGTGAGGAAGCCTCAGAAAAGAGGGTGTGTACAGGATCCGGTTGTTTTGTTGTAATCCGCTTTCCCTTGCAAAAAACAATAGAAAATGACATTTCTTGTTCTAATATAATCAAATTTCAAGAATCCCTTGCAAAAAATAAGGTAAAGTGGACATTCGCGCGCGCAAGACGAAATCCTTCCAAAAGCTTAGTGTTCGGAGCGATTTTAACATAAAAACATCAAAAAACCAATGGTTTTTCAACAAAAAAATGTCAAAATCTCATCCCGCGCGCTCTTGCGGATTCGTAGGAAACCCAACACTTTTTAAACATTTCTGTCAAACGGGCTTTTGCGAGCAACTTTTTCGAACTTCTGCGACAACGGTTGCGCACCTGCCAGGGCCATCATCCCTGTCAAATAATACCATGCGGGACACATTCGTTTTTTCTTCGCGCGCGCACGCCGTCGTCGTCGGCCGCGGGGCCCTGAATAGTAGCCACGGTCGTCCGCATGCCACGAAGTGAAGTGTCCGAACGTCATAGGGCGGGAAGCTGGGTGTGGGAGGTGGCGAAGAGTCGTTTGGAAATTTGGTAGAGCTTGAACCGCCCCCCCCCCACAAAGTGGGGGTATTGCCCGCCTCCTATGAAAACCCTGGCACTGGTGAGAACGGAGTGTCCCCACGTGCTAGTAATTGTTGTTGTTGTTGTTGTTGTTGTAACTCGGGGGCCAGGAGCGCAGTTTGACGCTGAAGACTTCCACTGATAAAAAACAAGGTGCGAGCCCCGTCAGGGCCACTTCAAGTGACACATACAATATGCACTGGTCAGGGGGATCAAAAAAAAAATATTCTGAATTGAGACTTCATCCAGAATAACAACAACAACAACTACAACAATTCATCAATCTCATTACGATATCATTACGCCAATAGCTCACACCAACAGCTGACAGCTCAAGCACCGTACCAACACCACCATTCTTCCCCGAACGCCATCACAATCATCACCACAACCAACGCCTCCACAAACGACCGTTGGAGAGAAGATATTGACGTTCGCCAAGCCTGGTCGCTGGTGGAAAGCAGGGAGGCAAACAGAGAGAGAGAGGGGGGGATGCGGGAGGGAGGAGAGGGTGGCAGGGAGGGGTGGGAGGGGGGGCTTGAAGAGGAGGGGGAAGGAAACGACAGATGAAACGAGGCAGGGATGGAGGGTGAAACATGCGTTCGGGAAAGGAGGGAGGGGGGCCTCAATATGCCGTCGCACTCCCCGCCGGTCAACCACGTGGCCAGGCCCTCGATGGTATCCGCGGACTTGCTGCCAATTTTCCCGCTGCCGTTGGCAAGAACGTCCTGACCGGAAGCGGGCGCGGCGGAGGCATCCTCACCCCTCTCTCCTTCTCCGTCCCCCTCCCCCTAGAACAAGAATCTGAAATATAGACTTCCAGAGGTCCGTGCGGATCTCTCGGGTCGGCGCTGCACCCCGTCCATGGCGCGCGGAGCGCGCCAAGCGCGGCACCAGGCGCCGCCAGGGTGGGGACGCCCGGCGGCCAAAGAACTCCCCGCGGACTTCGGGAAGTTTCTGTCTAAGCGATGTTTCCTCCTCCTCCTCCTCCTCCTCCTCCTCCTCCTCCTCCTCCTCCTCCTCCTCCCACTCCCCCTCCCCCTCCCCCTCCCCCATCCTCCTCCTCCTCCTCCTCCTCCTCCCCCCTCCTCCTCCTCCTCCTCCTCCTCCTCCTCCTCCTCCACCCTCACAACCGCACATCCCCTCCTCCTCTCCTCCTCCTCCCCTCCTCCTCTCCTCCTCTTTACCTTCTCCTCCTCCACCTCCTCCTCCTCCCCTCCCTCCCCCGCTGTTGGTTCCCTCCCCCTTCCGCGCCAGCCTGCACTCTGGCCCTGGGCACGCCCACGTGCCGCCCCGCCGTATCGCCGGCACTCGGCCGCCGCCTCGGCGCCCTCTGCTGCCCCCTCTCACCACCCCGCCCCTCTGGTCCCTCTCTGGCCCCACATATCACCTCCCGCGTGCAACTGGAGAATGTAGAAGAGAAGGGGGAGGAGGAGGAGGAGGAGGAGGAGGAGGAGGAGGAGGAGGAGGAGGAGGAGGAGGAGGAGGAAAAGGAGGAGGGAGGAGGGAGCAGGAGGAGGGAGGAGGAGGGAGGAGGGAGCAGGAGGAGGGAGGACGGAGGACGGAGGAGGGAGGAGGAGGGAGAAAGAGCTCTCGTATTAAGACTGACAGCATCGAATCACGAGGGAACCGTCCGGCACAACAGCCACAAAGAAGGAGCTCAATCCTCCTCTTCTGAGGAGGCTCTGAGGAGGAAGAATAGAGGAGGAGGGAGTATGGGGAGGAGAGAGATAGGGAGAGAGAGAGAGAGGACAGATGCGAGATGCCTCCTGATGCCTCCGACCCCGCCAGTCTCGGACAACATGCGGCACTGTGATTTGTTCAATGCACGGCCCCACGAGGTGCTGAGCGACTGTCCCGGGGCAGTCCTTCGTCCCAGGCTGCTGTGATCATATCGCCTGGGGCCCGACCGCGGGGCCGGGATATGCCGAGCTCGAAGCTGGAGACACCAGGATTCAGAAAACCATATCGTCGGAGGTCTGGGATCCTCTCTGGCCCCACTTCCTATTGAGGGGTAGCGTTAGGAGGTGACCAGCTCAGGGAGGGGGGAAACATCGAGCTTGAATCGGCGATGAATCGCCGATAGATCGGCGATAGGCCCCCAATAGCGAAACCGCACGTTCCTGCGCTGAATAGACTATCGGGGCCATATCGGCGGTCAATGGGCGATAGGAGGTCGATGCATCCCCGCCCGAGCCTGCCCCCCATGACTTTGCCCCTGGTTTTCGGGTCATGACTCGGCTCTCCGGCGGCCGCTCAGGACGGTCCGGCCGCCCCTGGAACGCTGTCGGCGAAGCGCAGCCACGGGGGCGCAGCTCGAGGCTGGAGAGCCTCCGAGAACCGACGAATACGCCCGAAGATCTCGAAACTCGAAGCCCAGCGTTGCCCCTGAAGAGGGGGGCTCATCCCCGAGCCTGCCCCCCGCCGCCCCCCCCCAAAAGTCCCCATGGGGAGGAGGTGATCCATCGGGAGGGAAGACGGGGCAAAAACAGCAGGATCAGGAGGGAGGATTTACAGCAGCAGGCGGCCCATCGCACCTGGCGCGAAGTTGCTCGCATCTGCTGCGGCTGCCCCCCCTGAGACTTCTCCTTGGAGACGGTGGGCGCACGATGTTCTCCAGCAAGCGAAGGTACGCATGTGTATGAGTTAGCGCCTCCGTAGCCATTTTGGCTCAAGTTCCCAACCCCCGTGGGGGGGGTTGGGAGCTTGCCGCGGCCGTGGGCTCGAGGGCCCACCAGCTGTTTTGGCCGGGCTGCGGGCGCCGCGGGGCGGCGCATGCACCCGAGCAGCCATGCCGTCTCGTGGCAACCGGGCGGGCAGGCGTGCACCTGGCTGTGCGTCCCAGTGCCCTGCGTCCCCGCGGGCTGGGGCTGGCGGGTCCACGCTACCCCAGTCGCGCCGGGAGCGTGTGGGGGAGTGCCCGTGGCACCCGGCACCTGGGCCGCAGGCGGCAGCTCCGAGGGCCCCCTCGGCAGCGCCGATGCGGACCCCGTGGGTGCGGGTGCGGGCCCCGCAGAGGGCACCCTCGCCGCCCCCTCCGGCGAAGGCCCGGCCGGGCTCGAGGCCGGCTCCCGCGGGGGCGCCGGCGACGGCGCCGAGGGCGACGCTGCGGCCGGCCCCGGTGACCCCCCCCCGGCGGGAGGCGGCGCTCCTGCGCGGGAGGGAGGCGCCGACGACGGCGCCCCCTGGGCCCGGCCGCGCCGCGGCGCCCGCGCGCGCCCGCAGCCCGCGGGCTGGGCAGGGGCCGGCGACGCAGGCTACTGGGCGCCGCTTGCGCCGGCGCAGGGCGCGCTCGAGCAGCAGCCCCAGTGCCCGGGAGCCGCGGCGCCGGCGCAGGCGCCCGCACCGGGAGCGCAGCCCGAGCGAGCGGGCCACCCGCCGGCGCCGCACCCGCCGGAGCAGCCGCACGCGCGGCCGCTCCCCAGCCCCCCCGGGCAGGGCGGAGGCAGCGGTCACGAGCTGCCCCGCGGCGGGCGCCGAGCGGCGAGCGAGCCCCCCGGGCAGGCGACCCCGCGGCGGCGGCTCCAGCAGCTCCCCCGCACGGGCGGCCGGCCGGAGCCGCGAGCACCCTGAGGTTGCGTACAACTATAATATAGTTGTGGCTGTTGAACAACTATATATATAGTTGTACAACTATATATATAGTTGTACAACTATACATGTAGTGGTACAACTATACATATAGTTGTACACCACAAACATGTGGATTCTGATGGGAATCCACATCTTATGCGCTCGCGAACATGGTTGCGCTTGCGCTCCTTTAAAACAGTATCGGCTTCGAGCGCGCGCTCACGAAGCGCGATCTGCGCTGGTGCGTGTAAGCGTTCGCACGCTTGCTTGTGGTTTGCAAGGGTGCGCCAGGCGATTGCGCCCAAACCGAGCGTTCAAATGCGCCAGCTGTAGCGTTGAAGCGTTCCACCCGTAACGCACCCTGACGCCGACGTACGATATGATCAGATCGTGCAGCATATCATCTCACAGGATGCGCATGATTGCAACGGCGTGCCACGTATTCGGTGCGATACGTGCAATCGAACATTCGAGATCGCATGCGTTCGTGCGCATGCGCTCTGGTGAACGCCTTGGCAACATCACGGTTGCAACGCAACGCGTGTATTTTCATGGCATCACGCGCGCACTGGCGCGCGCAATCCGCCGATGGCATTTTGCCAGGCGCGCGGTTCGCGACATTTGCGCGTTCGCTATTCAAATGAAATCGCACTCCTCAGCATCTCCTTCTGTCTTCTCCCACCCCCCTCCCAAGCAATAGTTTCCGTAGTCGACGCCGCTCCCTCCTCGACGTCCTTTCCTTGGCCCCCGCCTCTTGGTGCTGCTCCAATTGTTACCCCCACCCCAGCCCAGTTTTCGTTATGTCGTTGGAGGGCGGCTCGATTTCAAACCTGCGAGCTCGCGTTTTCGAAGGCGGTGCTAGTTGTCGGTTGGAATGCCCGCTCATTTTGACGCACCCCTCACGCCGTACGCGTGCATTGCTTGCCGCACTCGGGCACGCGCACGCCGTCGAACCATGCGTTCGGCAAACGAGAAACACTATACTACGAGACGCTGGCCCTGAGGGGTGACGTCCTCGATCGTGAATGGCGTCGCAGGGCCAATTGGCCCGTTTCTGGGGGAGGGGGCGGGGGGCGTGCGGGTTTTCGCATCATGCGGCGCCATCGGTGCTAGCGGCAGGACCCCCTCCTACCCACCTGGAGGGCACCCCCGCCCTCACAAGTCCCGACGGGGCTATATGTGGAACCCATCCCCCCTCAGGGCCAGCGTTCCCTGGCACCGTCACTCAGATGCGGTGCACCTGTGGCACTTGAAACCACAGAACGCGGTGCCGATCGTGTCGTAGTTTGGCCAGCACGTCAGGCAGTTGCTGCACTCAGGTGGGAGGTCGTCGCAGGTGTTAACGGCTCCCCCAATGGAGGGAGCGAGGGATTTGTTCGGGCGGGAGAGGAGGGAGGAGGTGGAAGGTGAGGAGGAAGAGGGGGGGAGGGGAGAGGGAGGAGGATAATGAGGGCAAGTAGGAAGAGGTGCCGAGTAGCAGGAGGGCGAGCAGGAGGAGGCGCAGGAGGAGGAAGAGAAGAAGGGGGAGGGGGTTCGGCGACCCCGCATTATTACCCCTTCTTGGTTCGGAGACTTTACCTCGAGACCCGATCGGAGATGCGTAACCTTGCCCCGCAGGGGCCTGTTAGATCTTACACTGGGAACGTGCATGTGTATGAACACCGTTGTTTTCAGAACAATGCATGCGAGCACACATCATTTCAGCTGCGAGTACAGCTTCCGCACAGGCACGCGGGGCCCTTCGAAGAAAAGTTGCTCAAGTTCGAAACCACGAGCTCGCGCACTTCACACTATAACCTAAACGGCGCACTTGTATCTCCAGGATTAGAAAACTGCGCGCACACATGCTTATTCGCAATAGCGCATACACAACGATCGTTGTATACACCATGCGTTGGAACCACGCGTGAGTTAAGATCGTCGTCGTCGACTCGTCGGCGTCGTCGCGCTGTCGTCGTCGAGGCGCCGTCGATCGTCGAGGTCGTGGGGGTGTGATTCACGGCGTTGTCAGGGCATCGTCGTCGTCGAGGCGTCGTCGTCGGCAGAAGTCGGTTTCCGCCGATGCCCCCTCCCCCACTTTTTTATGTTGTTGTTTGCCTCTTGTTATTTGTTAGTTTCTCGAAACGCTCGTTGCGTATGGTTTTTTTTTCTGTCG